CGACATTTCAATATATATTATATGACGTGAAATATATCTAATACAGGGTGTAAACGTTATGACAGACATTATCTAAATGGGTGATAGAGGCGGTTAAAAGAAACAAAAAGTTTCAGATAACATGGGGGTCAAAACGGCACTTTTTTAGAGAAAAACGACTTTCAAGTAAAATAAAATCTGACAACGCCGCAATACCAGACGCAAATTACGATGGAACGCAGTGTAAATAAAGATGGAGTTTGTTATTTTTGGCTCTTAGGTATAATTTCATTACTTGATAATGTACTCGTAAAATGCAAACAATTAAAAAAAGCGGACTTACCACTAACTGTCTCAGCGCTTCACCTGGTGTGTGAAAGTTTATTGAACATATTAAAAAAATCCACTTATAAATTTTGATACAAACATTGTTTTTCTTTTTAAAACCCACACTGCACTTTTTTGTATTTAAAGAAGGTGTTCAAAATGTCGTCCTCCACTTTTCACACAAGCTTCATAACGACGAACCCAGTTTCTTCTTACTCTAGGTCCTCGAAGTTGTCCATTTATTATTTCAGCCGCTTTCAAAATTTTTTCGCGAAGTTGGGCTTCAGTTGTTATTGGACCAGCCCCATAAACCATCCCTTTAAGTTCTCTCCAATATCAGAAATCCATCGTATTGAGGTCAGGAGATCTTGCTGGCCATTTTAGAGGATCAGGAGCATTTCGACCGATCCAGCGATTTGGATAATGTTCATTCAAATACTGAATGACGCCTCTAAAAATGTGTTATCGTTTACACCCTGAATATCGCTGATATTATCGCGGCTTCGCAAGTTTAGTAGCCATTATCCTAAAGTAGCGTTTATCAACCTGAGGTTCGCGTACTCCCGTAGGAGTAATGAAAATCCACTTTCTCACAGCGACAACTACTGCGTCCCCTCCCCAGACGAATTCCTAATTTCTAAAATAGGGTCTTTCACCACAATTTCAAGTGGGTACATCCACCATAAACTGAAAAATGTTTTGGAACGATGCGTTAGGGTGGCCACGGCATTTTTCTATTCCAAGCAAGTTCTGTATCTAGGCATATGTAGGCTACACATTTCTGTTTTACTTAATTCTATCATTACTAACATATTCTACTTGAAGTAGCCAACGTTGTATTATATTTCGACGTCCAAAAAAAATTGGGCGATGAAATGGCGCCAACTATCAGAATTTTACACTGTTAAAAGGTTAGTTTCTTATAGATGGTGCTGTACTCAACTAAATGAGCATATAGTCGGCAACAGCGCCATCTATGAGACACTAACTTTTTCAAACTAGATATCTAATCACTGTGGAGAGGAGAAACACAGCTGTGACAAATTCTCATAGATGACGCTAGCGTATCTCATTTCATCCTGGATAATATTTGGATGTCAAAATACAGTACATGGATCCAAGAAAATCCGAAGATATCTAGGGATTTTCAAGGCGATCCCGATATTTCTGAAAAAAAGACGAGCGAGGTTCAATAGTTCCAGTGATTAGCACCTCGCTTGAGAGTGAGAGCTTTATATGGTAATTAGGTACGCCATGCTTTCACGGATGGTTCAGTATAAAAATTTATAGATGAACAACCTATAGAAACAACACAAACAGTTGAAAAATCATCAGTAACTTGACTAAAATGTCCACTTACACAATCTCGCGGAACATGTCAACAACTTAGAATAAACATGTTGTCCAATATCTGGTGTAATATTGCAATTTCAACATTTTAATTCAAACGCCATAATAATATGGAGTGTTATTTACGACGTACTTGAGCACCAAAATCACATTACGTTGCAATAACAAAAATTTTCCTGCGTTTACAAATGGCTAATTTAATATATTTTTCGTGTAGAAGTCAATTCGTTGTCCTGTTTATGTATGTAATTAACAACTATAGCCTAATGGAAATTATAAACTAGACATTCTAGACAACATTATTCACACGTTTATCATATGTACTATGTACGGACTGTTGTTGACTCAATTGCGCTAGGTTTTGGTTTAAATAGTAATTCGATGTATTTTTACTTTCTAATTTGGATCTCCTTTCGTATTCTATATCCACTTTTATTGACTCCTCCCCATATGATGAGGTAATAAATATTAACGATAGTAGTACATTTATTTGAAGGCATCTGGTTTGATTATGTTATTTCAGGTGGGTAGAGAGATAGAAGGGCGAGAGGTTCTGGTAGAACTGTGGGATCATGGTACTCGTACGCATATTTTTATATGGCGCTTTAGAGCGCAATTAGTGATTAGTTTCGTTAGTTTATCTGATGTGTATTGCTAGAAAGGTATTTCGGACCTTGATGAGTTCGAAAACGATGTTGATGAACCTGAAATTGTTACTAGACAAATGTTTGAGGGCTCAAATTTGCCCAATGATAATGGACATGTTGATCAAAATCATTATGAAAAAAGAAAATCTGGGTCTATGGCACTTAGCCGTGAAATATCATTTTCCTGGGTAGGCCATATTGTCGAAGGTGGCTTACTGAAACCAAACCAACATTTTTTAATTAAATGTAGTGAAATCGACCATATTTTGAAAAAATACTTAAAATTGTTGATGTCACAAAAAAAAACATAGGAATTGTCAATAAAACTTAAATGAGGGATAGAATAACAGTAAAACAAGAGTAAAAGTAAAACAGGTGACAATTAACACTGCAGGTGCACTACTAGACTTAACCGATAACATTGTTAGATCCTGGGATCAACATATGATCACATCATTAGTTGTTCTTGACTTCTCTAAGGCATTCGATACCATAAATCATCGTCTTCTAGTAGCCAACTGTAAATATTTTGTTTTTTCTGATTCTGCCACTAAAATGATTCAGAGCTTCTTAGGAAATCGATATCATAGGGCAGATATTGACATGGTTCTATCTTCAAAGTGCCTCATTTCCTCCGGAGTGCCTCAAGGGTCTGTACTTGGGCCACTCCTATTCATTTTGTATATTTCTGATCTCCACGCAGTTGTTAAATATTGTAATATCCAATTCTTTGCCGACGATTCACAGATCTACAGTAATTTCCATAATCACGACATGAGTCAATAATAATAATAATATCAGTAAGATTTGTTTATCAATTTTACGCCAATTATATGTTAATAAACAATTTCTTGACTTTACAACTAAAAAAATTTTTATGAATCTTTGGTAATGTCCAAAATTAGTTATTGCGATTTAGTTTATCTTCGATTTCTTGACTTAATATCTCTAGCACGTCTCCAAAAAATCCAAAACTCATGTTGTAGGTTGATCAATAATTTGAAAAAATATGATCATATCAGCCCTTTTTTCAAACACATGAAGTGGTTGAGAGTAAATGAACTGTGTGAGCTACACTGAGTTACTTACACCTACAGGCTTTTGCTATTATCCATTCCGCCGTTTTTGAGAAATAAGCTGATATCTAGAAGCAATATCCATTCTAGGGACATTTGATTCACTGCAACACTCACAATGCTCCTTCACAGGACATCATTCTTTCGTAAATGCTTCACCTACAACGCAATTATTTTTTACAATGCTTCTACCTCGATCCACAAAATTGCTATCATATGATGAATTTAAAAGACAAAGAAATTTATTTTGTATAGAAGTATGTAAATTAGTTGATAAAATTTATCTGTCACCTCACACAAAACTATTTCCAATATAGCATTCCTTTGTTTTGTATAACTGTTACAATTTTATACTTTCAACTTATGAAATATTGAATAGCCTTAACTTATATATGTTATATACATCATATTTTTTATACACCTACATTTTTAAACTTCTAACCTATCAAATGTATTTATGTTTATTTATTTTTGGGTTAAGTGGCAGAGTAGCATTATGCTAAACTTCGCCCCTTAATAAAGACGATTTATTATTGTTATTATTTATTAAAGCAAATTTTTCACACGTAAAATGTTGGAAATGTCTTTAAGAGAAAAACACCATAAAAACACTGATCGATCTGAAGCCTTTTGAAATTTCATTTGAAGGACCTCACGTTTGTTTTTGGCTTTACCTCATCTGGTAGATTATTAAAAGAAAAATTAATCCTAAGTAATTTGATGAGACTTGGCTGCATTTATAGTTAAAAATAGGTAAATGCATAAATATTTTTATTCTGGTATTGTGCGTGTGAATATCACTGTTTACAAACAAGTGTGCCTATTCGAGAATACATAAGTGGTTATTTCTAGTACATACAAAGAAGTCAATGACAGTACTCCAAAATTTTTAAACAGCTCTCTACTCGGGTAGTGGTTACATGCATTTGCTAAACTTTTTATGATCTTTTTTTAATATACAAACAGTTCATTACAAGCATACGCCATAACAAAGTCTAGACTCAATGAGCCTATAATAGATATTCAATAAATCAGGACAGCTTCAAGCAATTTTTAAATTTCTAAAAACATATACATAAACGGATAATGATTTACGCAGATGCTCACTGTCCAACTCTCTTGGCTCTCTAACACTGAACTATTGACATTTATACCAAATCCATCTAATTTGCGTTGGTAATCGTGGAATGTGAGAATTTCTGTTTTCTCGGTGTTAAGAAAAAGGCCGCGAGAGTTCAAAAAGTTAATCAGTTTCATCAAGGACTTTGTGCATTTTTTTTGGAGAACAGCATCCTCTTATGAAATGAACAAAGATTTGTCATCCATATAAGCTGTATATTTAATGGTTGGTAAAGTATCTGCGATCAAATTTACATATAAGAGGAATAGAATCGGTCAAAGTATAGTGTATGGTGGAACACCCTTGTGAACTGGCATGACTTCAGAGTTGATTTTACAATATCGGAATCAAAATAGATACATATACTTATACCATAACATTCTAATGTATTGAACTGTCGTTGCCAGGCAACGTGAAGCGACGCTTATATGGCGTACTCTTTCTAACACGCTTGCCTCTCTCATACACATAGAAATCTAGACAATCACACAATACTCACTTTTACGCATCACTTCTCGCCGCCTCGCTGGGTGTGAGCCGCGCCTTAGATTGTGAAACACTTACCTGGAAAAGAGAACATTACTATTAACAGGTAAAACAGGTGTTAAATGGCAGGGTATCTAAGAAAAGCAATTATGTTCAGCTTCTCTGGTTGTCCGCATATCTGGGTATTTCCGCAAGCTTGTATTGTATGTTGACGACTGATTTGAAAACATTTTCGCACGATAGATTACACATGTGGTATGTGAGCTCACGATCAATCGTTCGTAATCATTGTAAAACGGAATTTGATTGCACGTTACACATTTTGTAGGAATGTGAAGAGATCGGCACGATGTTTGACATTGATTATTAGAAATTCATTATCGTTCCACATTAAGAAACGCCAGTTCTCCTTCGGCATAAGTTAGCCGCTCTTAGAAAAAAGTTAGCTACAATTAAGTCAAACTGATCAAGTTAGTCCCACAGGCCCAATAAATTAATTCATATAAATTTTTATCTGCCCTACCGACAGTTGCTAAGACTCATATTGCTGATCATCGCAACCACTCGTCAGTTGCGGCATCACAGCAGTCATGGCACGATACTCATCGGTAGCGCAGAGGTAACCAAAGACGCGTATTTCTCTATTATTCAAGTTTTGATGCTGAATATACAAGGAAATGAAGGCAATATATATAGAATTACCGGGGTTGGAAACGTATAAATATGCTAACAGTAAATTGAGATATAATCTCCCCCACCCCTACTCCGAAGCGATCAGGAACGTCTGAAACCTGCACAAATGAGCGCACTTTTTATTTTTTTCGATATTTGCCCTCAGCTGCACCGCGATTGATAGTCTAATCATATCGGCATATTTCCCCGAAATAATTGTAGTCTGGTTTTATTGGTGTAAGTTGTTCAAGGGGGTATTTAAAACATGGACGTATAAAATGGCTACACCAATTTTTGTGGAAAAACTTTTTATTTGACAACAAAAAGTGTGAAAAACTTTGCATATAAGATTTTTAGGTATCTATGAGACCTACAAATGGAAACCACACTTGTAAAGATCCGACTAATAGCAAAAATGTTATGGCCGAAAAACGAGGAAAAATGCAGGTTTTGGTACTTGCTGGGTATTTTAGTCTAATATGACTAGACTATGAATCGATTTTCAAAAGCTACAAACATTTTTCGTTCTTGGCTTAGTAGCGTGAAAATTTCATCAAAATCCGATTGGCACTTTCCAAATTATGGACGGGACAAGGATTAACGGACACACCGACAGAAAGACAGACAGACAAACAAACAGACCGATGGGACGTAAATGTCATATAACATCTCATTTTCGAATTGTTTCTCGATCACAATTCTTCTTCACCAGTGACGAGGAAAGTAAAATAGGTAAGAATTTCCATTGTTTTCCTACCAAATTAGAGATAGTCCATCTCTTAATGAGACAAAGTAATAATAGATTATGAAGGGGGTATCAACATGAAGATGAAATAATCACGCACTTGCATCGCGATTTTGAATAAAGTCATTATTATTATTATTATGAATAAAGTCATTATTATTATTATTATTTTCTACAAATTTCACAACATAAGACTTCTAAATTTAAAGGTACCCCTTCATACACTGCAAAAAATTAGCTAATATAAGCTATAATCCAATATCAGGTCAATTACAAGCAATACAGAATTATAGAAAAAAACGGTTGTAGGTCATCTAAAATCTAAAGCTAACTACACCTGTGCAGATTCTCTGGAAGACGAGATAAACGTTTTCTAATTTTTCGCCCATCGCGTGATTTTTTGATCATAATTTATTAAATGTGATTCCTGTGTGATCATACTTTTTGTCTGCCAAAATACGAGCACACCAATTGTTACTAGTTATTTGTTATACGATGTATTTAGACTTTACGTATGAACAATTGACGTACTAAACTTTTATCAGTAGTTTCTCTATCGAACGTCTAACACTGAGTAAACTGGATTGAGCGTACAACTTGCTCAACGAGGCCTAAATCTGTGATCTTGACTGATTGCCTTTCTGCCAATACCCATGTTTGAAACGAAAATGAGCTTTCATATCAGACAAACGATAAATAACCTCTATCCATTCTAGTTCTTTATAGTCTCGACGACATAATAGTTTGTTTCTCACATCATATTCATGAAATTCATAGTGGCGATTTGCAATTTAAATTGAATCTCGGTATTCGTTAGCACCTATTTGTATGCATCATTGGAACAATTTGATACAGTTACCAGGCACTTATTATCTAGAATCAATCTTCGTTTCTAATTGTGCTACAAGATATCATTACGTCCATCGTGAAGATTGAAAAGGAACAAGCAAATGTGTTCACATAGTTTCTCATAAGTTGAAATGAAGCAACTATTTTGAGCAGATGAAGCATAAATCGGTTTGCAATAAGTACCCTGAATTAATCAAGCATTTACGGGTTTTCGGTTACTTAATAGCAAAGAGTGCCTTGTATACCTAAGGAGAGTAGTATTTCTTATGGAAGCATTTGTACCTTAACAATTTAAATGCCTTTTTAATTTTTTTATTTGAAAACAACACGTACGAATATCCTAAAACTAGATCCGCTATACACGTTTTACACGTTAATTATAGAAACAAAATAAACATACTTTCTCATTATAGCATTATCTTATTTTAATGTGGCTTATAGAATTTATATGAGGCATTTTCAGTGATTTATCGTCTTTTGAACACGTGGCCATAAATTTTATAGAGATTACGATTAGGTTTTTTTATACTGCTAAAAAAATTACCCACCGGATGCCGATGTATTTTTCTCTTTTATTCCAGTAATGCAGAAATAGTAATAATGAGGATTCTAGCGGTTAGGCAACCTTCGGCAGTTTTTGCCGACCTCGGAAACTGTACTACTTTTTAAATCAATTTTTACGAATCTTATAAAGAACAAGGCACTCTATTCTGTACATGGGATATCTGCTAATCTGCAGTGGTCTGAGGGTAAACCAAGCCTGAAGTTTGAGCGACTCTTGTTCTTAGCTAGCTTGGTCTACATACAGTCACTTCAGATTTGCTATCAAGCTCAGATGATTTTTGTACCAAGACAATTTAGAAAAAAAAAGTATAGAATTATGTGTATTTTTGATTTTCCTAATCCATTCATATAAAAAACCTCTATGTGGCAACCTGCATAGTGAAGGTCAAATCGAAAGGTAATCATTGATATTTGGTGAACAATCAGAGGTATTTTCTTCAAATAATTGTGGTTTTATAATTTTTTCTACGGTGTTATTGAACTTTCAGGCAGTATCTTCACATTTCGCTTTGGTGGAGAATGATTTTCCTTCAGCGGTTTTACCGTCAAGAAAAAATGCCTAGCGTAGCGTGTAGAATCGTGCTGGGTCTCATCACACAATCTTGAAAACGTACCATGAAGGTCGTACCGTATTTTCAGTGCCTTCGCCTCACCAAACGCGTTGCCAGTGCCTGTTCAGGGAATAAAAGAAACGCCAGACAGGGGCGGACTTCACTCAAATTCTATCAAGATTTGTTTCAGTATTTTTTTAAATGAGGTTGGATCTATAATAGGAATTTATTTGCTATCAAATTAAAAACCCTCGATCTTCAAGTGAAATTCGAGTTAATACTTTTTATTAGACGTTCGTTTGAAAAAAAATGCACTCAAATCGATTTATCGGTTTGGAGATTTTTGCATGAGGGGCAAAAAATTATAAAAAAAGAGACTTTAGTGATCTAAAAACTAATCCCTTTTATCTTTTACCTTGGGTTGCTCATGCTCATCTTCACTCCCCAACTTTTAAATAGCTGAACCGACTTTATTCAAACATAGCTAGCAACCATCTGACAGACAAGATTTACTAAAAAAAGGAATTAATCCGGTGCGTGCTTTGGGGAAATACGATACGACAGACATACACAGAAGCAGTTCTGCTTTTTTCTGGTGTTAAAAAGTGTTCATACGGCAAATTGGTTAAAAAACTCAAATACTCAAATTCTTTCGTCATTATTTTCTACATCCAGAAACTGGTGTTGACAATTCTGATGTTATAGTTTATAAAAAAATGCTCCGAATCGTGTCTATTCGTTTACAACAAATAAACTGTGTGAGCTTAAAACAAGCATTTTCCCATAACAAACCAATATTTCACTCAAAATATCTCCAAAATTGAACCAAATCTTTTACTAGTAATTTAATCCAAAACGATCTTTGTTGTTGTGTGAACGGGAAATACGATACGATAGACATACACAGAAGCAGTTCTGTTTTTTCTGGGGTTAAAAAGTGTTCATACAGCAAATTGGTTAAAAAACTCAAATACTCAAATTCTTTCGTCATTATTTTCTACATCCAGAAACTGGGGTTGACAATTTTGATGTTATAGTTTATAAAAAAATGCTCCGAATCGTGACTATTCGTCTACAACAAATAAACTGTGCGAGCTTAAAAGAAGCATTTTCCCATAACAAACCAATATTTCACTCAAAATATTATCTCCAAAATTGAACCAAATCTTTTACTAGTAATTTAATCTAAAACGATCTTTGTTGTTGTGTGAACGGGAAACACGATACGACAGACATACACAGAAGCAGTTCTGCTTTTTTCTGGGTTTAAAAAGTGTTCATACAGCAAATTGGTTAAAAAACTCAAATACTCAAATTCTTACGTCATTATTTTTTACATCCAGAAACTGGTGTTGACAATTTTGATGTTATAGTTTATAAAAAAATGCTCCGAATCGTGACTATTCGTCTACAACAAATAAACTGTGTGAGCTTAAAACAAGCATTTTCCCATAACAAACCAATATTTCACTCAAAATATTATCTCCAAAATTGAACCAAATCTTTTACTAGTAATTTAATCTAAAACGATCTTTGTTGTTGTGTGAACCCAAGCAGTCGCAGTGGCGAAGACATTATTTATTGACTTGTTGATTTTTTGATCACCGTGTTATTTGTTGAAATAATTCGACACGGCCCTTGGACCACGCCAAAAAGCTGAAGCAAACTTTCCATTTTTCGTGAAAAAGTTCTCACAT